GCATCCCAGTGACAGCCCCGCGCCCGAGGGGACGCCGTGCTGGGAGCGGTTACAGAGAGCTGTAAAGCAAGGGTTTTTGGCAGAAGCTGTGAGACGGAGGCCGGGAGTTTTACCTGAAAAACAAATAAAATCAAAGGACACCTGGATGCTCAAATACGGGGGGAAGGGAAGCGCACCCGGCGGCTTCCCAGCAGGACAGAGCAGGATGTGGCCCAGACCAAACCACCCGAGGAACGACAGCACAGCTCAACGGGCTGCTGAAAGCCAGCCCAGCGTTTCTGGGAGGAGGTTTGGTTTGGTTTTTTCTCTTCTTTCCCCCTCTCCAATCATTTTCTTTTCTAGACAGACACAGCCAAGGGCTGGGGGAAAGGGCTTTGTGCCAAGGCTCCTCCTGCAGCCCAGCAACTTCACCCCCTCCTTCTCACAAGGAAGCTTTGCTTTTCCTAACCCCAGCGATGCTCACATTTGCCTTTTAACGCGGTTTTCCCAAGCACTGAAGCCGAAACACAGGTTTTTAGAAGTTATTAAGGGCCGCGGAAGCAGGCAGCTTCCTGCAGCAGGAGGCTGCAGCTGCCTGTTGGGTTGCAGGGGGCTCGGTAAGGGGGGTCCCGACTCGCCGGGGTAGCTCCTGATCGTTCTGCCACAGCACAAAAATGACACAGTGCTGCCCACGCGTCTAACGGGGTATTTGCCCAAGCAGTTTTTGCAACAAAGGGCACAGTTTGGGCTCCGGGTGCTTCTACCAACTGTCTGAGGACTGCTGCCAGAAGCAGTGGGAGCTTTGGGACGCCAGGTGAGAAGAGCAAAGCAAAGGCCATGTTTTGGAAGCTGAGAGGCACCAATCTCTGTGGAAAAAAAACAACAACAACCGAGCCCTTCAAAGGGGAAAATTTCAGTTCAGCCACAGGTTAAGGTGCCTGAGTCTTCTGCTACTTGCTAAAACCCTAAGACAGAACACGGCTCTGGGCATCCTACCGAGATCTCAGCAACAAGATGCCTGGGGCATCCCCTCACTCCACTTACAGAGTGAGAAATGCTAAAAACACTAAGTTAAATTGGTTTTAAACAATTTATTTCTTCTGCTGGGAGGTGCTAGCAGGTTACAGGGATGCTGGAGAACACGGGAACCCCAGCCTCGTGCCTCTCCGCAGGCAAGCGGCCAGGGCAGCCGACTCCTGTTACCTTGTTCCTGAAGGTCGCTCACATCTCCCTTCCCTCAAGACTTGCTTCACTGTGCAGCAGCTGCTGTGGCCAGCAAGAAAGTAGGATTTTCATCAAGACTCTGAGGAAGGGCTGCATCCCTGCGCTCCACAAATTTTCACTTCCCCTCCCAACAGCTGCCTGAACAGGCTTTGCTAACTCAAAATATCTGGATGCCCAACAAAGGGAGAGACTCCCTGGGAAACAGCACCAAGCTCAGTGGCAGCACAGGTTGAGATGTTGGATTGCAAAGGTTCAGAGAAGCTCTAGAGAGGGGGTAGGCGCGAGTCAGGGCAGGTGCCCTTGCAGCTGGCTAAACCGAGGGTCCCTGGAGCAGGGAAGAGGGTGACATTACCGGAGTGGCTTTGTCCTGCTGTGACTCTGCGCCAAGCGCTGCGTGAAGCAGCTCAGAAGCGGTGCCGAGGCTGCGGGCCAAAGTGCATAGGCAAGTTGTGCTCCAGCTGAACGTTGATCTGGGGAAAATCGTAGTTCACCCTCATGTTAGGTAACGGGGGCACGTAGGGGGCAGGGATAGGGCCGATGTTGAGGGGGATGTTGTTGTACATGGGACGGACAGGAGGGAGCGGGAAGGGCGGGTGCACGAAGGGGTAAGGGGGCATCCGGGGCTGATGGAGGTTCTGAGGAACAGGTCTGGGGATGACTTCAATTCTCTGAATTTTCTCCATAGGCTTTTCCGCAGGAGGGCCGATCCGCTTGAAGCTGTTCTCTGCAGAGGGAGGAGAGAACAGAACCAGTCACCCCACAAACCAACACTCCCTCAGCTTGGTCTTATGTTCACAATCAGCACCCTCCCTCCCTCGCACGTTCTTCAGGCGTTCTCTCTGCAGCATCCCTGCTTGCCCCTTCCACGCTCCAGCCACCACGGAGCACAGGACTAGCTTTCCAGGTTGGCTCCTTCCATCAAATCAACACCACAAAAGGGGAACATCTCCTTTGCAGGGATGTGGGGCAGGCCCTTGCACGTCCCTGTGCCCCCCACCACACAGCACAGAGGTTACGCTGCCCTTGGGCTACTTTGCCAAGTGCAGAGGAGATAAATCTGTGCATCCGCAACACCTGGTGCCAAGTGAGAGCCAGACACGAGCCTTGTGCCTCCCCATCAGCAACAGCCGCAGGCAACGGCACTTTAAAGCCAGACTGGTTCCCAGGAGCAACAGGGTGACGGCTTGCACTCCTCTCTGGAGCAAGATTTGGGAGATGCTTGGTGCAGCGCAACTACACGCGGAGAAGCCTGCAAGCGGTCAGGCTGTGGGAAGAATCCAATGAAGATCCAGAGACTCGTCAGTAGCTGGGAGCCCGATGGCCTCCTGTCGCCCTCAGTGACCTCAAAGCACAAGTACAGGCTCTCACTTACCTCCATTTTTCTTCCTTTGCTCCTCTTCAGCCTCTTTCTGAATCTCCTGGATTATTTTCTCGTCATCTTCCTAGAAATCACAGGAGTATCAAGAGTCAGCGGGCTAATTCCCACTCCGGCAACCCCCTACTCTCTCCGTGCTGCTTTCCTTCTCAGCACGTGTTTGCATGGAAATAAAAAGGTAAATTTGGCTGAATTGTCCTCACGTGGGGTTGACCTAGCTGTAGTGAAAAACGCGGCTGCGATGTAGGGGTGCAGCGTTAGTAACTGGCACGGAGGCAAGCCTACTCTATGGAGTATGACAAAGAGGTTTAGATCAGCTTTCCAGGGAGCCGGTGCTAAAATTCATTGACTTGAGGGAAACCAGAGAGCTGCAACCCAGCTCCGCCCACCTGAAGAGTTGCTGGAGAGCTGTTAATCTTGTAAATGGCAATAGCCTATTAAATATTTACACTACGCTAGCACTTCCAGAGTTTTTGGCCCAACAGCTGGAATTAACACAACTTAAACGCTGGCTCTAGTAGCTAAGAGGTGCTGTGACGAGGCCATTTAGATTTTATCTGTAACTCTGAGGCGGGCATAAATCACAGTATGTTTCTTTAACGTCTATCTAGAGGTTATAACAAGAATATTCAGAGCTGAATATTTAGAGCACAAGGACAAGCCAGAAATGGAAAGCATCCTTCTGCCTCTCACCACCTTCAGTTTTCTCAGCCCAAAGGAGCAGCGGCGAGACCAAACAACGCCGGGAAGCCTCAGGTGGCTGCAGGTATCTAAAGAGATGGCTTTTACATCACCTTTTATTAGACTGAGGGAGCAGAGTGGACAAAGCCCTGGAAGAAAACCATGACACTCCTGAGCCTGGCGGGATGGCCACAGGCACCGACCGCCCATAAGGTCCAGGCAGCTCTCAGGCTTCCCACGCAGCCACGAAAAATGAGTTTCTTCACGGCACCACAGCATGCAACAGCTACCAGGGGATAACAAGGATCACAGCACACAGCTGAAGAGACAACTCCCTTTCGGCGCCGGGCAGCAGATGCTTCTGCCGGCCAGATGGTGCAGTGATGGCCACAGAGGTCCTCCCGGTCTCTGCAGGGCTGCGTCTGCTGCCGCTTTGTGTCCGCTGGGATGAAACATTATCTGGCACTTTCAGAAAACAAATGAGAGGAGCTAAGCCTCCCGGACAGTGTGTGTACTCTGGATGTTAATAGCCAGGGAAGAAGGCCAAGAACGGGAGCTGCTGGGTGACACACAACACCTGCACCGGGCATCAGCCGCTGCGGGACTACCTGCGTACGAAGGAGCGTTTGGTTTGCTTCAGCAGCTCATCCGCAAGCGGTGGAGTAGGTGGGAACCCCCAAGTCCCACGTAACCCAACAACGCACAAGACTCTGCTCCGGTTTAGTCACCCTAATTTCAGCACTGCCAAACCCCACAGATTTTGTCTTGAACACTCTTAATGTGGAAAATATCCTTTATTTTGAAGAGTGCCCTGGGACTAAAATCGAAATATGCTCCATGTGTGCAGCTACGCTGAGATTATTTTCAGTCTAGTCAGCTTCCCAGTTCCAATCTCCTGGTCCTGCACATGTCTAGCAGCAAAGCCTGGGAGGCTTGCTAAGCTGTCCCCTCCTCCCACCACCAGATAAGGTTTCCCTGGGAGACTGAAGTTCTCTTAATCTGCAGAGAGCCATCAAACTTGATACTTCCCTATTTTTTATTATTCTGTGAGTCAATGGTTAACATTAAGTCTTTCCAGGACACGCTTTTTTTAATTACTGTTATTTCCAAGCAGGCTGCTTCCACGGACTGTTAATTACAGCCCATTTATCTTCATAAAAACTGCTGAAGAACTGCTCTTCTGAGAACTTCTAATCATCCCCCAAGTATCAGATTGTGACATTCCCTGGCTGGAAAACAACTTGGGCACGATCTGCAACAGGCAACCAAACACCCTCCGCTCCTTTGCTGCCCAAAGGGTGGCCCCAAAGCTTCAAGGACTTTAATTTTTTTAATTTATTCTCAGAACATTTTTTGCAATGCAGTTGAAAACAGAGATAGCCACCTCTCCCATCTTACTGCCACCTATGGAAGATGTGCACCTGAAGTGGTTTTTTTTCTAAGTGATATGACAAGCAATAAACGTGTTTTAAGCTCAGCAAGATCACCCCATCATCTCCTTCTCTAGCACAAAAGCACGAAGCTCACCTTAAAGCCTAGAAATGTGCAGAAGTCCCTTCTAACTTTAAAAAAAGTCTTTCACCTTAGTTTAAGTCTGGGATTAACCCTTTAAACGGCGCTTTCCAGGGAACACCACCGTCCTGCCACCCCTCCCCGTGAGCCCTGCTGGCGACACCGGTCGGTCGTGCAGAAGCCCCAGGAATCAGACACATCAACAACCGCAACTTTATGAGATCCTCCAGGAGCGAGGGCTTACTCGACTCTCCCAGTTCAAACCGTGGCTGATCTCCACCTAACGAGGGATCCACAAAGCCACCTGCCCCCAGGGCTGGGACCCAGCTGCCCTGGGGCCCGAGGTGACGCTGCCTTCAATTACTGCAGCTCCCAGAGCGCCGGGGAAACACGTCACTGCAAACCCCATCTGCCAGAACGACGTCCACCTCAAGAAGGCAACATAAAGACACGCTGCGTCAGAGGTCCCTACTCAAGTCTGTCCCCTCTTGGTCTTCAAAGAGGGGCAGGGGGCAAACCTTGCAGCACAGCCTGGAGAGTACAGATCCGGGTCAAGATGATGAGTTCCCGACTAGTTCTGCAACCGCGAATCGCGGCCGAAGCACAACAAATCATGTCTCCGAGAACAGAAGTTATCAGCCTTGTCGCTTCTGCGCTGATAAAAGTGCATTCTCACGCTGGAAGGTTAAGAAGTATTTATGCTTAATCCCACAGACGAAGCCTTGGCTTCAAATTATTATCTTTCTTTTCGCCTCAGTATCTCTGAGAAAACGGTATCCACAAATGCAGGAGGAACAAAAACCACAATATGCACCTTCCTACTTCAGAAGCGGACATTAAAGCTGGCAACTGATGAATACAGAGCACAGTTCAATACCTGCAGTATTTAGGAAATACCCACGTCCCAGATGGTCCCAACAAACTTGAGGATATGCACACAGCAAAGTAATTTTAGCATATTCCTGATGCCACCAGTTCTGGCTATTACATATTGCACTGGCGCAGGTCAGAATTAAAATCTAAGTCTCAGTCCTGCAAATATTCACCAGGTACAACAGTGATTTTTGCAGAACACCACTAATTCTTTGAGAGGCAAAGGCTGTGGGGTTTTTTCGTTTGGTTGGTTTTTGTTGGCTTTTTTTTTTGATTCCACAGTTAATTGGAGAGAGATGACAGATCCATCTAGTGCTAAGGCATCCACACCAAAAATTAAGTTTTCATTAGTGCACTCATGGCTGGCTGTTGTGGTAAGAAAACATTTAATGTCACATGGTGTGGAGGCTGCAGGACAATTTCAAAAGCCTCCTGTGTTCGTTTTCTGTCCTGGTTCTAGCCCCTTAATAAAGGATTAGGTTATAATTTTAATAGCCTGTTCACAGGCTGCGTGGATTGAAGGGATTTATCTTGTCAAGTTAACAGTCATCTTCCTGTCAGCTGCCTTGCCTAGAGCAAAAGAAAAAAAAAAAGAAAAAAGGAAAAAAGCAACTCCCCAAACCCTGGGGGGGTGTCTCAGCACTGGCCAGCTCGCAGGGGTTTTAAGCAAGGATTTTAAGCAAGGATGTAACTCAGCTCTCCTCCTGGGAGAGAAAAGGCAGAGGATGCTACAGCACGGCCCTTCCATGTGCTCCGCTGCATCACGGGAGAAGGGAGGTGGCCAAGAGAAAAATGCAAAGGATCCAGGAGATGTAATTCACCCATCTCACCCGCAAACACTGCAGAAAAGCAAGCGCCGTTATTAACAGCAGCTGCATTTTCACGTGGCAAAATAGGACCCGGCTTGGCCCCAAACCCGACAGCGGGATTGCTCTTTGCAGGAACCATCCCCAGTCCCATAAATAAAAAAATAAAGAAGCACGAATGTTGGTCCCTGGCCAGTCTGAGAGCGATCCCTGACCCGTGGCAGGATCTCGGCAACGGAGGTGGCTTTTCTCAGCCCTCCCTCACCGAATCCAAGGAACGCGGCGAGCACGGAGCCAACCCCGGCGGAAAAGGATGGTCAGAGTCTGCAGAGGGATGAGGAGCTGGGCTCGGTTGCCAAACAAGGCACTTTTTTGGGGAGTGAGGCCCATTTCGACAACACTGGTGCGGAGAAGCTGCCATCCAGCATCCATGCAGGG